GTGGTAGTGATTTTCCTCCTTTGTTTATTTTGATTGATTGTAGTTATATAATCGGTTTTAATGTTTACATACAATGACCCGCTGTTTTGATTTTGTCCAGACCTATTGTGATGACTGAATCACCTTTATTAAGTATGAGATCGGCAGCCAAGCCAAGTTAAGAGACGTCGCGTCTTGAAGGTACATCTCAATACATCGTGAACTGGAAGTACGTAAGTCAAATTGTCGCATGTGCGCAATCACTTCAGTACATCAGAACCAGAGGTGTTTGTGTCCGACTCCGAGGTGTTATAAGACTATTCTAGGTCACATGCAGTGGATCAGTTCTTTTCAAAAATACGTTTGCTAAACTCACAATGATTTCAATTAGATCATATCTGCTCACTTTGTAGTAACAATGCATTTAACTGTACGTCGCATTATCCGTTTATCGATAGTGTGACGACCAGTTCAAACCTCCATTTGTCCAGATTTATAATTAGAAAGTCGAATTATGGATTAGAATTATTGGGAACGCCGCTGTCAACATGTTCTGGTGATGAAGAACATGTTGAAAACGGCTTAATGACATTTAGTCATCAAGCCGTTGTGTTTTTCTCTCAGCTGATGAAAGTCTTCAGTGTACTCGTTTCTTTTTAGTGTACCACTTCCTAATTACAGTGGCAAGACATGTAAAAGTGAAAGACCCTAAGCAGTTATTTTAATAGAATAGTTCATCTTCTTCAGTAATTGTCACGCCATATTTTCGCTCCAGTTGCTTTTGGTACAATCTCTCTTTAGTACGTATGTCGTATGCGTGTTTGGTTATGCTGTCGTAGAACTCATATACTTTAACGAATCATTCTTCCAATTTTTTATGACTTTTAATTCTTACTTGTTTACGGAAATTGATGCACCATTGATAGTCAGTACGAAATTTTTTCGCAACGTCATTGACCTGTGAAAGATAAACGTTCTTTGCAATCCAATTTTAGATTACTTTGGCTGCATCAGTTTTATTGGCAGCCTCTTGAGACATAGTCTCCTGTCCTGGTTTTGCAGTGCACAGATGAAGCATTCTACCTAACATGCACAGTGATTTTTGTTTTTGCTTCAAAAATTCCCTTAGCTGAGTTAGGGCTATGTATATATATATATATATATATATATATATATATATATATATATATATATATATATATATATATATATATATATATATATATATATATATATATATATATATATATATATATATATATATATATATATATATATATATATATATATATATATATATATATATATATATATATATATATATATATATATATATATATATATATATATATATATATATATATATATATATATATATATATATATATATATATATATATATATATATATATATATATATATATACATATATATATATATATATATATATATATGTATGTATGTATTTTTGTATATTATGTATTTTTAAGTAAATATATATCGTTTGGTTTTTTATAAAATCTGCTCTTTAAAAGCTATCTAGATATTAAAACTCATTTTATCTAAAAAAAACTAGTATTAAAACTAAAAGTAATCAGCTAGATAGACTAAATGACGGTTTCTCTAACTAACAATATTATTGCTTAGAAAGATGAAGTTCAATTGGATCTTAAATTCCAATTTACAACTATATGTCTAAACTACAACAAAATAGTAGTTTTAAGCAAAATAGACATAAAAATCACTGTTTTTTAATAAAATACATATATATTTACGACATCATATGTATATGTTGTAAACTGGAATTTCAAATAATCACATTATGAACCCATGTGTGAATTTTAGATCATAGGATGCATCATGGATTGAACCTATCTACGAGTTTGATAGTAAGTTATTTTATTGGTAAAACGATTGTTCAGAAACCATTATAAATTTTTAATAGTTTATTTGGAGAAAATTAAATTACTTGGCGCGCAAAACTAAATAAACTGTTTTCGTTAGATCCGTATCCGAAAATTTCGTAATTCATAGCAAGTAGAAGAAAATCAATAAAAAAAATCACCGTGATGAGTGCTTCAGTCTGAATTTTAGGCCGAGTGATGAATATTTCCTGTTCGTGGAACAGGAAATATTCATATACCCTAGTTACATGATAATTTATCGAACAGTTACAACGTTAAATATGTAAACTATATACCTGTTGCATATATGATTATGGTCAATTTATAAAGCACGTATAAAAAACGTATAAAAAGTAACTACAACAATCTCAAATAAGAGCTACGGATTCTAAAAGTCAGATTTTGAAAAAGCTCAAAATTAAATAAAAAGAATAAAAGTTAGAGAAACATTTATGTTTACTAAACCTCAATGAAATTTTGAATTCATTTACAAACTTTTCTACTAAGCAAATGGATGATTTAAATGATTTAATATAAAAAAGTATTGATAGAAAAAATCTCTGCTACAAATGATATGAAACTAATTAAACAGTGACAGTTTTTTATAATGGCAGCGTTGTATTTAAAAAGAGATCTAGTGTTTTAAGGAAAAGATTTTCTTCATGCATTATTTTATGTATAAAATAAAGTTAATAAAATATACTTTGTTTTTTCAACGTTTAATTATAGTTTATTCGCAATTAACCAGCCACTTATCTTTTTTAATTCATGACTCATTTCTGCATAAAATTGTTTCATATATATATATATATATATATATATATATATATATATATATATATATATATATATATATATATATATATATATATATATATATATATATATATATATATATATATATATATATATATATATATATATATATATATATATATATATATATATATATATATATACTATGCCTGAGTCCGCTTTGATGACATTAAAGTTGTTTATAAAAATCTGTTTTTGGGGCGACATACAAGTTTATTTATTTTGTTTAATACTTTTATTTTTGATGTTATTATGACATATTTTTTAGTTAGGCAAAGATTACATGATTTTCCTTAGGCTTTAAACGGTTGCGTTTCGTCTATGATTTTTTATGTAATAATAGGATTTGTATATCCCTCTTTTTTACTGTCCCACATAAACTTGGAAACCTCTGTTGAATTTGCTTTGCTTTTGTATTGGAATAAGTTTTTTTCCTTGCAACAACGGTTTTTAAAAGTATTTTCTGTTAGTCCAATATAAATGAATCTGCTGTCTTGTGAGGAAGTTTTTACGTTACAGCAGTATATTATTTTTTTTTTATTCCAAATTGCATTGCGAAGATTGTCGGCAGTTGCACTGTTGGTTTGTTGAGGTGTTAGAACCAAATAAAAATTTTTTTAATGTGAGCAGTGATAATGTTTTTGATGTTAGAAAAACAGGAAAATGTTTTTGTTGAAGAGTTTATAAAAGTTTATGAGATTAAGTAAAGTGTTTTTTAACTATATTTAAGAAAATTCTTGAAACATTTATTCTTTCGTTAAGTGCAAAAGTAGGGTTGAGTCATAAAATTTTACGTGATCTCGATTTTGATTTTGATTTTGTTGCGGTTTGATTTGGTTTATAACAGGTTGTTTCTTGATGGCCATTAGAAGCCAGTGCGTTATCATAAAAAGGTGCAGCTTCGTCAAAAACGTCTTTCTTGGATGAAATATTTTTAGGTTGTTTGGATAACATTGTTGGAATAGATTTAATAATGTACAATGGGTGGGCACTTGGTTTTCTGTATGGTCGAAAGAAACAATCCGACAAATTAAACGTAACATTTAAAAATTTACAATCTTTTTGATTTAACGGTTAAGTCTCAATTGAATTTACCCTTAAAAAGGTAGACAAAATTTTTATTTGTTTTATTTCTGATTCTAGTCCATTGAATTTATGAAAACAGAACACACCATCATCTTTCACTATTCATTAAACTGCAATCTGTAAATGTTGTTTATAGTTTGCAGGATATAGAGACCGACAAGCTTGCTCAGCTCTGTCCCGTCAAAACTTCCCATAGTGACGTCAAAGTTTGGGTCACCATATCTCTTAACCCACATGTTATGAACAGTAAAAACCAAAGATTTTCTAGAGTCATTTATAACACCAAAAGTTTTCTGTGATAATTCTACGTAAACTTAGCGTGATGTAAAGATTCATGAAGTGGTTTTTGTGAGATTGATGAATAAAACTCGTTAATATCAAACTTGATAAAGGTACAAACATAAAATAGCATTTAAATAACATTCCGAACGAATTAACATTATTTCATCGAACAAAGAATTTATATACAAGTTACTTACAGTAAACGAAAAAAAAAGCCTAATTTTGGTAGCTTCTTTATAAGTGTTTATGTATGTCTCATGGTTCTTATAGAGTTTTACAGCAGCCTCTGCACTAAAATGCAATTTAGTGGAATTAAAAGATACTCATGATCTAAAGAAATCTTTTTGCTCTAGAAAGTATAAAGATTTTGTAAATGCTGTAATAAAAAGCTCAAAGCGTCACATCAGGTGTTTGGATGAGAAAAGAATTGTTTTTGCATTAACAGACAAAGTTCTGCTTAAAAATATAAATAGAGAGATGGTTAAAAATTAGCTCAACAACGTTAAGCTTAAGACCTTCAAACGCAGTCTATTCTCAAAAGTTTTTAATATGAACAATAATCTTAATCCTCCTAACAATGTTGATCAGGAATGGATCCAATTTTTTAATATTTGTATTTCTAAAGAACGAGTTACGAGAGATTCCCTGAACGATTCATACTAGAATGATTTTTAAAATCACAGTTAGTTTGTTTAGCTTGTGATTAGCATGCAAATAGCTAATGACTGCGCCTATAAAATTTTTTGCAATTCAATTTAACTTGCTTCCAAAATCTTAATCTGAGATTAAATTAAACCTATAGATTAACAGAGAGAGTTCAAATATTGTTGCTCTTACCCAAAAAATTTTAGTTAAGAGGGAAAAGTCAATAAAAGTAAAAAATAAAAATTTTGATGAACGTTTTTGTGTGTTTATAATTGAAAAAATACTTGCCTTCGTTTCCATTTATTATTCTTACATCTTTAATAGAACCATCTTGAGCTTCGTACCATGGATTTGCTGCATACACATTGACATTTGAAAATGCTTTTGGTAGTTTATTTTCAATGCTATGAATGTTTTCTCCATTTAAATAAACTGCATACATAATAATTTTTTCAATTTGGAATTGAGATATTCTAATACTTGACCATTCATTTACTTTTAATGGCTTCGTTAAAATATAATAATCAACATTTTCATTAATTGAAGACGAAATTAATAAAGCACCAGAGCCATCATTATTAAACCATACTCCTGGATTTCTATCTCCATAGTTTGTAATATCACCACCAATAGTCAGATGAATGACAGATGAATGAATGCTTGGAGTATATGATTTTGGTTTAACTTTAAAGGAAACTGAAAATGTTTTTTCCAGCAACGGCAAGGTTATTATGAGATTATCTTTTATCAATGCACACTCCTTAAGGTTTTCCACCATATCTAAAAGAAAAATAAAAAAAAATTAAGTAAACAATATTTTACAGTGTATGTTTTTTTATATACAACTAGTTTAAAAAAATTCTGTGCATTAGGAGACTTGAGGAAAAAATGTTAAGATCACATTATTTTATAGATTTAGACATTTTAAGTATTTTTTTAAAAATCAACATTAGTAACTTTTAGTAGTATGTAACATTAATTACCATAAATACAATGTAAAAGATAGCAAAGATTGAAAAAATATATATTATTAATATAAACACCTGAGATCTATTATAAAAAACATGCTAAATTTATAATATATCAGTAATAAAATAGATCTATTTTAGCATTTTGCATATGTAATAATTGCACCTTTCATACTTTTTTTTTTCAGGTTGTTATTTCATTTTATACCCATAGTTCAAAAACACAACTATCCCCACTTAAAAAAGATTATGTAAAATTCAGTTGCCACTTGATAAAAGTTTGAGTTATGCTGTATCATTTGTAATTTATAAAATCAATTTGACTCACACAGGTATATATTTTTTTTCTGACACGCTTGAAGTGAATCCTCCAGTTATTCTACGGTATTCTCCTGTAGCTATCAGTTTTTACCGTAATAATTTTTTTTTTAAGAAAACAACAACCAAATTTTAAATAATACTAGAGATTGCTCTGACCTATCAGATTATAAACCAATTAATATTTTTTATCTGTCTGCAAACCAATTATACAGTGTTCATAGCAACTATTTTAACTAATTATTATCCATGATTTTATTCTGTTTTCAAGTATTCATTCTAAAACGTATTTAAAACTTAATTTTCAAATAAATTTATACATTATATTTAAACTAATTAAACTTTTTTTTATGATCTATTATATTTGCAAAAGATTAAAAGGCTCTTAGACATCAAAGCCATGAGACGCAGTAAAAAATGTTTTTAACTAAAAACAAAAACCATGCTGCACAACTAAAGAAAAATGGTTTTAAAAAAATGCTTTTAAGCCATATTACTCTTAAACCTTTTACTACGCCAAAATGCTATATGCAGAATGGAAGTAATCAAACTTAGTTCATATTGAGTTGAAATTCACAAAACTTCATTTTCTAAGCAACTTTAGAGGTTTTTTTTCTGATTTTTAGAATTTTCAGAAAAACTTTTCCGACTTATCTGGTTTTTTTAAAAACCCTGTATTTTACTGATTTTCTAAACTTCCATAACATTTCCGTCGTGCTTGCGGATGACACTGATACATTTATTACTGTATACAAATATGAACATTGAAATAAATAACGTAAACGATTGTTTAAAGACAAACAAACTCTCTCTTAATGCAAAGGAAACAAAATATGTACAAAACATGTATCTTATACAAAAAATCATGAATAAAATCTTCCTCATGAAAATCATGTAAAGTAATCTTGGCTTCCTCATTAAAAATACATTTAGTCAAAATGTAACTAAAACTGTACATTTGATGTAGTAAGTTTGTTCTTGCATCAAAAGACAAAGTCTTAAATTATTCTACTTTTGACGAATTATTAGCTTCATAAGCTGTACAAACATTTCATGGAGAACTCATGGACTCAAACATTTAAACATTCAAACATGTACTCAAACATTAAAACTTAAGAAACTTAATAGTTTAAATAGAATAAAAAATTGAAAAACGTTTTTGATTAAAATGACTTTGAATAATTGTTGGTAAATCTGGTCATGCTTTATTTCTAGTTTATTGCATAATAATTTTATAAACGCACTATGCATTTTCATTAAAATATTTTATTGAAATTGTATTATCTATATTATAACAAAGTACGATATGCTTTTTGAAATTTTGTTAAAGAAGCTATATAAAAAAAAGACTGCATCGACGTATGGCCACCCTCATCTCCTTTGAGCCACTGTATGTTTCAATTATATTTTTATTTTAATTTGTTAAAGCTTTATCTAATATTAAAATCGAGGGAAAAAAAATTCCACTTACTCTGGAATTTTCCTGAATGCTTTGAACCTGAACGCTGTATTAGTAAGATCTTTGATTCTTGAATTTAAAAACTTCAATATCTCGTGTCTCAAGTTAATTCTAACACCATATTCTCAATACGGATTTCAATATTCTTGTTTTATTGCTGGCATGTTAGCCATTATAACAAAAGGATTCTATTTCGCATTAAACAGAGTTTTACAAAACAAATAGAGTTTCATTCAACAATGTTACAAGAGTTGCAACTTTTAACTTATTAAGTTAAAAAAATATAAAGTACATTTTACCATAAAGACATATGTTGTATCTAAGATTGTTTTTAAAAATATTAAAAATTACTTTCTAAACGCAGTATTAAAGTTGTACTTAATTCTCATGGTTTTTATAGAGTTTTTATGCAGTCTTTGCAATAAAATGCAATTTGACTCCATTAAAAGATACTAACGATCAAAAGAAATCTCTTTGCTCTAGAAAGTATAAAGATTTTGAAAATCCTCTAATAAAAAGCTTAAAGCTTTACATCTGGTGTTTGGATGAAGAAAAAGTTGTTCTTTGCGATTTTGTGGCATTAAATGAAAAGGTGGGCACAACACTCTTTTTCATTTTCTTTAGACTACACGATACCAAAAGGTTTCATTCATAAGCATATATTATTTTTTATCTGCACTTAATACGTTATTGATAATCTTACCTATAATCTGGCTGATGATATAATAATAACTACAGTCTTCACTCAGTCTACTGATTTTTCATGAAAATCATGTATATAATCTATTTCCAAGTCTGTTAAAGTTTATTCTACTCACTAATTTCATTTTCTGGTTCTATTTCTTCTCTAAAATTTTTTGTCTGTCATTGCATGTAACATTTTTGTAACACTTATGGTTCGTTTAATGATGCCTTTTGTCTCCTAAATAAAATCTAAAAATGCTCTGTAAATTAAGATGGACCTAATCTAGGTGCCAAGTTTGAGTCTCAGCAGCATTATCATAATTTTTCTGTTATACAACTTTTTCCCTCTCTTTTTTAAATACTTCCATGGTTTCTGATCAAACGATCTCAAATCAAAACGCCTGTCACCCTGATGCAATTTAATAGTTATGAAGTACCACCTAGGTAAAGTTATTATATTTTATTGCTATTTTTTGTTAAAAAAATGTTTTAATAACCAAAACAAATGTTTTATGAAATAAAAACTATTTATAATATTGTATTATTATCAAACACCAGTTTTGGAATAAGAACTCATTCAAATTTTTGGTCCGCAATTTCATTATTTGCAAATCTTAATGATTTACTTAAATGAGTCAGTAATTAAGTGAAACGTTTTTAACGCTCAAATAATGTAACTTTATAAAATGTCTCTTAGAATGACTAATTATATATAGAAATGTTGAAACACAAAAGATGAGAAAAAGTTGCATTATCTCTATATTAATACTGTAATTTAATTGGTTCGTTTCACTTTTGTATATAAAGTAGATTTAATTAGTTACTAGGTTTTTCTGACCTTAAAGGAGAGCGTACTCAATATGCACGCGGTCATTCGAGATATATCTATCAAGCAAGATAAAGCTTTTTTTTTGGATTTTAATTGTTTTTTATTAGTTTAGAAATATGAGATAAATTATAACTGCAATATTAAGATCTTATAATGAAAGAGGTAAATATGGAAAACAGTTTAGAAAATTTTATATTACATTTTTATTTGAAAAATAGTAGAAAAGATTACCCCTTCCAAGTTTATAAATCGTTTATGTTTTGTTTGTTTTAGTTTTTTTTTTTTTTTAACAGAATTGTTTTTATATCTTAGATGGAAATCAGGGGTATGGATAAGGCCTAACTATTTTTCATTCACTTTTTTGCGCTAAAAGAGTTACTAAAACTTTATCATAAAATTGTTTATTGTTGCTCTTAAATTTATTTAATGAGAAAAAAATGTTTTAAGAAGTCCTAAATTAACATAACTCAAATATATATTGAATACTATCATTTCATACCTTGCATATTTTATTATTATTTTTTTGACATTTCTGTGATGCTATTTTTTTTTTTTTTTTGTTCTTTTTCAGAAAATTTAGATAAATAAATTAAAATTTGAGTGAACACTGACATTTTCTTGTTTGTAAAGCTTAAATTTTGCTATAAGGATTGCAGTTCTTTTATCTTTTTTTTTTTGCTTTTTGTTCAATATGTATGAATACAACTTTATTTTTTTACGAGATATGTGTCTTTATATATGAGTATATATAAATATAACATTTTAGATTTTCTCATATTATTTTTAAAATTTTTGTTTGCACAATTTAAGTTGTATATGTTTATAATTTGCAAATATGTTTATATTATGTTCAAATGTAAAAGGATATTTTTTAAATATGTGTATGTGTAATACGTGTTATATAACTGTTTTATAAACTTGTCAACCGTCAAGCGATGTACTGTTAGCAGAAATGTGACCTGGCAGTGTTTAGTGTCAAATGTATAACTGCTTTAGATCTAGGTGTTTTCTAGCTTTTATAATTTATTGTTCTGGAAAGACGTTAAAATATTTTTTAACATCATTTTGCGTAACGTTGTTGCTTATGTTCCGTTTTATATAAATTTTATTTTAGTTATGCTATATTCATGTTACATTATCTTATGGTATGAGCTTTAGTTATGTGTAGTTGTTGTAATAATGTTTTTTTGTATTGTTTTGTTGTTTTTTTGTAATATTAAATTTTTTTAATGTTTTGTGTTGATAGACATCTGGCTTATCTTCAGGTTGGTGTTTATTTTAAAGATGAGATATAGGTAGTCATTATTGGAGCTCACTGCTTTTAATATTGTAAGTTTATGGAACTTTTTTAGAAACTATTGAAAGTGCAGTTGAAATTCAATCAGGATATTTAAGGCTTTACTTTTTTTTCAAAATATTTTTTATTAAAAATACTAATAACATTAAAAAAATATATACAAACTGTTATTTAGTTTTTATTTCAAAAAAGATGGATTTTGCTTTCTGTATTCATCAACAAATT